TTAAGGGTGCAGTACCCAGTGCCACAAATTCACACACTTTACTGGTGATCAGTTCTGTGCGGTTAGGGAAGGTTAGGGTTAAGAAGAAGTTGAGGAAGCTATAGTCAGAAATACCAATGATGAAACTTCAAGTAATGACAGCAGTTTCTAATGGGTTTACTCTTACACTGCAGGGGGTGGAGGATGTACAGAAACAAGAATGGGCCAAGAAAGCAGGGAGCATCACCGAGGACATCAGCAAAACGGCCAAGGGGGCGGCAGAGAAGGTCAGCAGGCAAGGGGAGGAGCTCACCAAAACGGCCGCCTACAGGACAATCTCAGATGTGAGTAGACAAAAAATGTCAAATCAATAAAATAAAACCCTGCTGAGTACTAAACAATAATAGTGCTTACTGAAAATAGCCAACCTGCCCAGATCTCACGTTAATTATAAGTTTCAAGGGTTGTGTTACTGTGTTCTGTGACAGAGTGTCAAAGCTGTTAAGCAGGAAATTGATGAGAGTACCACAGCAAAGGCAAGACCATACAGAGCACCTGGTAAGTGAAGTTAGTCAAGTGTCATTACACAGCAATTTGTAGAGAGTAAGCAGGATTAAGAATATTCAGTGTCCAGATCATGCTTATGATACAGAAAAGTATTCGTAGAAATTTCCATAAGAATGTGTATGTACTAAGCAGAATTTCTAATTTGAATCTACATCAGTTTTTAAAGAATAATCAGTTGTAAAAAGTGATATTTGTCAATATTGAGTTTGATCATTGTAACTTTAACCATATGCTGCCCGGGAACCTGGTTTTGGAGACGTTGGCTTTATATGCCCAGACAGGGTGCCTGAAATCGGACAAAGGGAACTGGGCCTTGTAACAAAAGACTGCAGTCGGAACAAATGACTGAGCTGCTGGGAATTTCCAACATTTTTTCAGTTGTCAATAGAAGAGGAAATCTGTCATTGTTTTGAAGGATTATACCACTATTTGTGGCATTCAGCATGAGCAGATTACCACCGGAGACAAAAGTTCTTCAGCGCTCCAGTGATGAGCGATACAATACCGCTGCACGCTAATCTGGCCCCTATTGAAAAGACGGCAGCAGCACACTGTGCCGGTTTCGGGAACAAAAGGAAATTACGTAACACCACACAATCTGGGCTCTTCTAACAAGGCGGCAGGCCTGGTTGAAATACTCCAGCGTCAACAGATGTTGCCTGTCAGATTAGAGTAGCCACCAGACAGTTATTTGTGTAGGTGTAAACGTCCAGTAAATGAAGTTATGAATTTTTAAAGAATTTTGAAACAAACAAAAAATGAAAACTCACCCGGCACAGCAGAATCAACATAGATAAATGGCCCGGCAGGAAGTGGTTAAGATTATTGTTTTCAAAATTTAAACCCATCAGTATTGCACCAACCAGTACAAATGAAGCTGCTTGATTCTTTGGGGCTGTCTTTTCATTTAAATGTACACTTGATCTTGTTTCTTGATTCGTGAAATAGTAAAACTCCGCAAGCGAACAGATGGATTTGCAGATGGACAAGAATCAAGGAGAATATTTGAAGCCAATGAGTGAGTATCTTTAATTCTTGTTCATAATTTTTTTAATGCCATGTTAACAACTTGAGGATTTGGCTGTAGTAGAGAAATTGCTTTGACACCAGTCAGGTTTGTTAAGGAGGCAATCCATCAATGCATGTAACGAAGCACCGCGAAACTATTTAGGCCACAGACGCCATTTTCCAACTTTGGTGATTGGCATTTCGGTCACCTTAGTTACCCAGTCAGAAATCACTCTTAGAAATTTTCCGTGTGGTTTTGTACTCAAATGGGGAAAGTTTTACAAGTTACAAAATTATTACATTTACAGTTATGATCTTCAACAATTCCTCTGCCCTACCCTTCTATGTAATCCAAAGTCTAAATTCTGTCTGAAGAATGCTTTGGTCATTACTGGCAATGACGTAACTTCCATGAATATGACCAGTGGAAGTCAACTACTTCACAGGTATTATGTTACCTACTTCAGCCTAGTTTGGGAATAGCGGTTCATATATTTCAGGAGATGTTCCTTATTTGTTTTTGGTTTAGGGATGCTACGGGTATGGTTCTACACAAAGATTCCAGGTGGTACAAACAATGGAGCGAATTCAAGGAGAACAGTCATGTCTTTAATAGTAAGTATGGATCAGTGGAAATTGAGGAGATGAGCCCGTGGCAAACCCAGATTGGTTCAGTACAATTTCATTACAATGCACGTAATAGAGGCTTGTTTTTATTTATTTTAAGAATTCAAAACAAGGATTTCTCAGAAGTGCTAATGGCATTTTTGCTCACAGATATGAAGAGATTTATCAGGATAGTGTAAGACATGTAAGTTTAAGAATTAGGGAACTTTATTTACAAAATCTGATGACTTAGAGGCCCAGACATTGCATTCCTAGCAGAACTCTTTCAGAAAGGCATTTTGCCTGTGAGAGAGATTCTAATATGATCAAACATCAAGCCCATTAACTTTTTCCATTTGTATGTTTGTGGTCACTGTAACCAGAATGCAGTTTGTGGAAGTCTGGTATTTTTCATTATTGAAAATCTGGTGAGCCCAGCTGGGTTGCAGGGGTGCAATGGGTTAACCAATGTGCTGAATGGAGCTACTGTGTTCATTTCTCAGTTGTTTCACTGCTTGAGCAAATATCATTTTACTAGTGACAGATAAAAAATATCACCAAGAAATTTACCAATATGGGTGTGCTGTCAAATATACGTGTTTTCAACTGTTGTTAAGAGTTGAATATCAGAAAGTCTGGACAAATATCCACATTAATTCCGCTGAAAATGAGACTATGGCCACCAATTCAATCAAATTACTGATGAAAAGGTTTCTCTTTATAAATTTCAACCATCTTTCTCCTGCCCCAGAAATGTTTGACTTGAAAATGCGGTATGACGAGAGCGACAACGTGGTAGTGCGGGCTTCCAGGGCAGTCACCGACAAAGTCAGCCAGCTTCTAGGTGAGCTTTCTCTCTGCCTTGTCCAAATTATTTGGCTACTGCAGGCCGTCGTGCACAAGTCTGTGAGAAATGGCAACAGTCACTAGCTAATGGCTCTCATAGGCACGTGAGCTATATCTAGCCTTAGTCATCATCAAGTCCTTCTCCCTCACTCTCATACTTGCTTTCATAATTGCTCTATTTGCATAATTGCTCTACTTGCATAATTGCTCTACTTGCATAATTGCTCTACTTGCATAATTGCTCTACGTGCATAATTGCTCTACTTGCATGTTTGCGCTACTTGCATAATTGCTCTAACTTGCATAATTGCTTTGATTTTAGCGAGCCCATTGGAGGCAGAAACTGTTTTGTGGAGAAGATAAAGTAGTTTGTTTTTCTAAGCTGAGCGTACACAAAATGATGTCCACCGCAGGTCATTTGGGATAATCAGATTGCATACACTAGATTAGCCCCTTTTAGTGCAGCTGCAACATTGATTGTGTACAGCGAACATATTCAGGCTGGTGCGAATACCAAATGACCTTCCCTCACTGAAACACTGAATTGTAATGTTGCCATCAAGGGAGTGTTCTTATGCCAAGTGTTCTGTCGTAGGCATGTGAATCCTTCTGAGACTGCACCGTCTGTGGTAGTTGTAGGCAATCAACCACATAAACTGTACATTGTCCACTTGAATTTGATATTTCTCGGTGTTCAATCATTTCACTGCAGGTGGTGTATTCTCTCCAACGGAAATGTCAGAGGTCCTAACCGAAATCCTCAAGGTGGATCCACACTTTTCAAAGCAGGAATTCCTTTATTTATGTGAGCATGAAATCATACCAAATGTTCTTGAGGTAAGACTTGAAATTCCAACTGCAAAATGTGCCTAACATTTAAACTTTACAGTTGTTCAGAAAGAATTGTAACTTTCTCGTTCAAACCAAATGGATGTCATTTATTGAGAAAGTACACCGCCGTTGTCAGAGGAGGGTAGACTCAAGATCAGAGGGTCAGGGGCTCTAATCCAGCAGCTGAACGTATGCTATGTCCCTAGGCAACCCACTGTACCTCTACATTCCTTTCTCTACTCGGGCATGAAATAGTGGCGGCATTAGCAGGGCAATAACTTTTCTTGAATTAGCATCCCATCGGGGGTAGGGGGAGAAATACTTTCAGATGGTCCATGCCAAAGAAAGTGACAATAATCATTGGCCTGATAAACCCAGTGGCTTGGCACAGACTTGGCTTCATATCTTGCTATTACAGAGTGTCATATGTGGAAATGTGCTTCCTCCTATTCATAAATTTAGTCATTTAGTCAAGCCTAAGATGTACAGAAGGGGAAAGAAATTGCTGCAGACAATTTTCATTCAGCAATGTTCTCTTTTTCTAACAGGCCATGATACGAGGCGATTTAGAAGTACTCAAGGATTGGTGTTACGAAGCGGTAAGTCATTTTGCGTTGTTTTCAAGTGAGGCCAAGCACAATTTTACACAAATGTTAAGTATTTGAGTTTGTTCTTTGCCGACGAGGAAATGATATTTTGAGAGATTTTAGAAGCCTCAGTTTACCGGCATTAGTTTTCCATGGCAGCCTTTTAAAAGTTTGAAGGGAAATGTCTTACTATATTTGTATTGATACAGATTAGATTTTCTTTTCTCTGTTCACAGCCGTATAGCCAGCTTGCCACACCAATCAAACAAGCTAAAGCAATGGGCTATATGTTTGATAATAAAATTCTGGATATCGATAACTTAGATGTAAGTATTGTCTCGCAGGTGTAGTTTTAATGATCCTGTCTCCTTGTCATCGTATCAGAAAACTCTTAATGCATCTAAGAATTAGGATTGTATTCCCTGCATTTGTAGGTCAGCTTTCCATGGCTTCCATTTCATAAAACTCTTCCACAGAGAGAATTTTTTGTGAGCTGGTTCATACTTGGCACAAGAGCAAACACGAATGTGGAATTCTGATCAGTCAAATATTCATTCTGTGACTTTGCAAAAGTTGAATGCATTTCAACAAAATGCAAAACAAATGTTTTGTGACGTCAAATTTGTTCCACTTTAGTGTTCGTCTGAAGCATGGAGTTCATCTGAGGACCAGTATGTCACATCGCACAGCACTCTGGTTATCAGTTTTGGCAAACCGAATCCCTGTGTTCTGCAAATTTATTTTAAAAATTGCTTCTTCTTGCTTCCTGAAATTCATTCAGCTCAATGAAATAGACGTCTCTGTACTGATGATGTCATACTGCGTTTATGTGTGTGCTTTCCCATGATGCTCAGTGGACCATGGGCCTCCACTGGCCCCATAGCAAAGTGCACATTCAGTCAACTCTTGTTGTAATGAACACTGTTGTGACAAAATTCTGTAATGAAGAAAAGTTTTTGAGACTCCTCATTTCTTGATTTCTTATGTTTTTCTTTGTTTTTCCACTTCTCTTATAACAAAGCTATGATGATAATAAAGTAATTTATCTGCTCCCCGCGACTGTGTTGTAATGAGAGTCAATTGTATACACAAAGTGTGACATCATCAGTACATAGGCCTATTTACCACAGGTATTTGAAGAAATGCCGACTCCACAAAAAATGTGTTACTTCCCATTTCCATTATATGTTTGGGTCCTGGACTTTGTATACAAATTAGTAATAAGGGAACCCCAAGAAGCCATACCAATACCTACGTGAAATTTATATTTGACACTAACAGCCTCTTTTGTTTTACAGCTCTTTCTTTTCTGTATTTCCCCCCTCCCAGCTTTCTATGGGTAAGATGATGGAACAAGGTCCTGTCTTAGTCATCAGTTTCACTGCACAGCAGCTCATGGTGGTCCGCAATACTAAAGGAGAACTTGTCGAGGGTGATCCGGTAAATGCATGTCTATTCCAAATTCCCCCCCCCCAAAAAAAAAAAAAAGATTGTGAGATGAATTCCTTCCTTTTCAGATTAGAACCTAACTCCTCTGAGAGAAGATAAACACAAATTACTCTTCAACCCTAACAGTCCTCAATCCTCCACTTGTCCAAGGATTGAGGACTGTTCGGGTTAAAAGAAGATGAAGACATTTAGTGGTTAGTGATCCTATGTGAATGGCACATGTCCTGTGGTAGCCGCAAGAGATGCAATATAGCAAAAGTGCTCCACGTGCAAAGGCCATTTCAACAGCCATCTCCAGCAGTCCAGTCACAGTTTCAATCTCCAGTACAATGTTGCTTTTCTCCCCAGGACAAAGTGCTGCGGGTGACCTACGTCTGGGTGCTGTGCAGGGACCAGGAGGTTCTGGACCCCAATGCTGCCTGGAGGCTGCTGGACCTGTCGGCGAACACGGCCCAGCAGTGGGTCTGATTGCAGGGATGCATGGCCAGGATGCCGACTGAAGCTCAGATCCAGGGCCGACGGGTTGAGGCATGCACCAATGCCAAATGGGGCTGGGAGCTTTTCAAGTCTGACAAATTCCTGGTGTATGTTGCAATTGATAAACAATATTTGTAAAGGAAATCATACTTTTTTTACCCAGTGTAAGTAATCAAGACTATCACAGAACAAGACAAGACCATTCACAGGTAACAGGGTGAACAGTGGCAGATATTGCTGTTGTTGCAGTTCATTTTAACAGCTTGTAGCCTGCGTTTAGACAAGCGGTCTTGTGTTGGTCTTCAGGGGTCTTGACTATAACACTGCCATCACCCCCCCCATCCCCTGCAAGGAGGTCAGCGAGACTTGACATAATCACCCAAAACCCAAGGAAGAGTTCACATACATATGGCATCAATACAGCCACATCCAAATTCCACGGCTACAGCTAGCAGTGACACACATACATGCTCATGGCAGCCACCAGCCAACAACTACGTGCATTTCCCCATAGAAGCATGCTTCATTCCAAGCCATTGGCCAAGTTATTTGGATGAGGTCTGTGCTGTCTAAAGCTTTACAGGAAAGCCTGGAGTCGGGCTTTTGTAGGAGGAGCTGCATTCCTTCCTCCAGGTACTCCCCTGCCCCTCTTGATGGTTCCTTGTCTCATCCTCCCATAAACCAAGTAGTGCATTTATTGAAATAAAGAAGAGGGCTTTCTCCTCCCACAAGTGGTCAGAGCCATCCCTACCACAATGATGTTTTTAGAGAGTACTCGTATGACACTATGACCTGTTTCAAGTGGAACACATTTTGTTGAGTGCAAGTTAAATTTTAAGATGGCTTTTAAATTGATTTATGTGAAGACCTAACACACTGAATTTTTTTGCGAAAACAGCAATGCATGTAGGCAGAGGAAAAACAACAGGGCACAGAAATAATTTCGCATTGAGCTGTGCTTGGTCAAGCTGATTGTAGAGTATGGGATTTGCATTCCTGATACTTAGACCTCTTACACAATAAATTGGAACAGAAATATAACATGCTGCATTCACAATTTCAATTTTATGAATTGTTGAATTTTTAATAAATATGGGTATGCCAGTTTCCTTGCAAGAAAAGCAGTCGTGCACTGGGTTGCTCATTTTACATGTATGACTGTTACCTTCATAAGTGTCTAACAATCTAACAATGCAAAATGTTATGTTCTTAAGTATCTCCACCCATTCCATTTTGTCCAATTGTGTTTAGAAGGAAAATTTCTACAGTTTTTTTTTTTTGGGCATGAAAATTGATTACATCTTGGATGTAGTCATGAAAATAATTACGATTAGTCCAAGCGGTGCTGAAAGTGTTAATACACTGGCACATCAGTGTAATGTATTCAGTCTCACAGGATGGGACTCCAGAATTGGATTCGAGGAAAATTATCTATTTTCAAGATGTATTTTTGCGTTGGGGAGACGTTAGTTACATTTTGAAATAGTTCGCAGTACCCGCTGCTTCACCTGACTCGGACCGGCCGGCAAGCTCGGCGGTCGAGTGGTTAAGACGTCTGCACTAGTAAGCAGAAGGTTGTAGGTTCGAGTCCAACCTGAGTAAGCTTGTGAATTTTTTCACAAGCTCTAGGACAAGCACTGAGCACACAGTGTTTATCAATATATACGTTGGGTCAGGGCAAAAACCGTTATATAAAAAGGAAAATAATCTACTCTCCATGAAGTTTGAAAATAAATGTGCAAAGTGTTATTTCGTGTGCTTCAGACAACTGCCACATCGCATTGATCAATAAAATGGATTTGTTCAGATCACAGTGACCCTCGTCTGATGTAACTTATTTATTGTTGATGCCTGTTCCAGGAAATGGAAAATCTTCCAAAGCCAACGATGGCAGACAGATCCTAAAAGAAAGAACTCTAAGAGTCCTGAATCGTCGAATTTCTATATCATTTTTCACAGCCCCAGGGTTAGGCAATACCATTTATGCAAGCTCATCTAAATGGGCGTACAAAAACAAGATGGAATTTTGGATTTTTCTATAGGTACTTGTTACAAACTGAATTGTTAATGTGATATCCCCTCAGCATAAAATGGCCTTGAAACTCATCATCTTTTAAAAAGAATTTTAGACTGATTTAGTTGCATCCACGTAAACTCAATTCCTTGAATGTTCTCCGTCACTATAATCCGGCACATTTATTCAAAGCTATTGATGGAGTCTTGACGGTCTTGGTACAAGGCAGTCATATCTGGAACGGACGTCTGTTAAGGCAGGTTCATGCCCTCCATACTACATGTAGCACAAGAATGCCTGTTGCATAACTACAAGGGAGCACAGCATCAGGACAATGACGCCATGATATCCGTGACTTCTGCCAAATTCCTAGCCTGAAACAGCAATGCCAGTCCTCGCATTCCATCTGATTCTTGATGAACTGCTCATCATGTACTGCAAGTCCTGTCATTCAACTCCTCTTCTGCCTCGTCAAGTTCCCTGGATTCATCATAATCATCAAAACCATCATCACCATCATCATCATCCAACTCCTGACTCTTGCTCATGCATTGTGCCTCCTTTGGAGTACTCCCGTCTCCTTCGTCTGGGCAGCCCTTGGCCTGGTAGTGGAAAAAGGACTGTCTCTGCTTCTCGGTGAGTTGTCTCAGGTCAGTCTGGAGCTGGCTAGCCGGAGGTGCCTCCTCGGCAGGTGTCATTCCCTGTCTACAATGGGCATGAGGAGAACAAAAGGCTAAGTGTAGTACAAAAAGAACCTTTTATACCAACAAACTAACTTATGCCTGCTGCATCCAAAGTGAAGTAGACTGCAGCAGGCAACAGCAAATGTATGAAATCCATTAGCTGGTACAGATCTTTCATGATTTGTTACATGACAAGCTCAGCTTTGATTGGTCATGAGTACAAAAAACAAACTTTTAGAATAATTCTCAAAACGGTAAAATGTCTCTTGCAAACATGAAAACACTAAAATAATATTTCTACTGAACACTAACTGAAAATGCCTCCCGTTTTAATGCAGACTAAGCATAACGTGCATTTTGAGGCAAAAATTCTTGCAAACCAAGGGTGAATGCTCTGCAAACTCTATTTGGCTGGTTACACAAAGTGGCAGCCAATGTTTGTAGACACAAGAAAAGTCTACGGTGGTTGCATCCACTTCCTACATAGCATTAGCTTTTGCACAAAGGAGCATTATTAAAATTTTGATTCAGCTCATTGACACTGTGAATGGCCTGGATGTGATCTCCCAACAAAAATGGACACGCTATTCGCCTGGATGGGTGATTTTGGTGAGGTTTATCCAATATCGCATCCAGACCACCAAAGTCACATCCGAGCCAGGAATCACATCTTGTGTTTTTTGATGATCCCTGCCAAAATCACATTCCAGATTCAATATCACATCCACCCCAAACACCTGTCCATTTTTGTAGGGAAATCACTGTCCAGATTGTTCACCATATTACTCCTCAGTTAGTTCCCACATGCTGCAGTCAAGTGTTCAGTCATCAGAGAAACTACATGTACATGTACTTACTCTGTTACAATGTCATTCTTGCCACACTTGGCGCAGACCTTGGCAGCAGTGGCACATGGTTTGCACATAATGTGATATGCTTGGGTGACTGCCTTCTGTTCACACTTAACACTGCGAAAAGAAAATTGACAAGAAACCTATTAGGGAATGTAATTAATGGAAACCATTTTCACTTTTAAGAATGCAAGTAAAATGAATGCGGGGGGAGCAACTGTTCCAGAAAAAAGTCCCTCAGTGTAGAAATGTACATGTACCTATCAGAAAGGAGTGCAGCATAACCTCCAGTGTAGTCTCTTACACTGGTTTATCTCATCTAAATGATCTACGCGTAGGTTTATTTTACAGATTCACATTTTTATTCGACTGCCAACAAGTGCTCACAGAAGTACTTATGCAACATTCTGACACTTCTTCACCATGCATGTTTATAAATACATTGTAGGTGCTGGTTTTATCCATTTTTATGGAGGGTTAAATTCCACATTGGGAAATCAGAGGGCACCTTTGACAGTTTGACATGATCAATCCTTGTGATTGGCTTTTTGTAATTGCCGTTTGACTCCTGAGTCATTAGGAGCAAGAAGCACAGACAATCCTTACTGTTAATAAGCACACGTCTACATTAGACACGTCCCCATCTTTTGCCACTTGGGTTCAGTCACAGGGTCACGTAGTCCGTGAACATGTACAATAACATCACGTGAAACCAATGCAGATTGACTTTCGGGAGCCTATGAGCAATTTATTCGTGTCTGTATTTAATCTGTATAGTTGGCAAGGCAACCAGTGCCATTCCCCAGGAAACATCACACCGATTTGTCATAAGCATGTTTCGGCTTAACCTCAGAAAGGTACTGTTACCATATTCTTACATGTGTCTGATTAGGTTCATTCATGACATTTTTAAAGTTGAAGACTTAAAAAGGTTTAGTCCTAGTAAGTAGGACTTCCCATTGGCCAATTATGGCCAAATAATATGTTTTAAAACGGTGATGTAGAGTACTACTGTAGTACTGGTACTATGTCAAGGTACTAAGACTGGGTTTGTAGCTCTATGGTTAGATCCACCTTAGTCCCTTAAACTGGAGGTGGAGTCTCTGTACACTCCTCCATCAAATATTGACTAGTCCAAGTAACAACATGTAGAATTCTCCAAATCTTCTCTTTATATAACAACCAAATACACGTAACTGGGACTCTACCCCTTAAACTGTTGGGTCCAACTTCCGCAGTTCTGGGGGTAACTAGGACTTTACGAATCACTTCTTTTAAATTTATGTCTTTTAAAATCGCCTCTTTTAAAAATTGCCCCTTTTGACATGTTCAACAACCACATAACTAGGGCTCCATCATGTCCATGAATCACCTCTTTTAACATTTGGACAAATGTTAAAACTGGCAATTCGTTGAGTCCTACTGTGAGTTGAAGTCCTAGTTACTCAAACTACTGTACTGACCAGGAAGGCATTGTATACAAAGGGCCCACAGGCCTGGCTAGGTTTAAGTTACAGTGCACTACTTTGATCTGCCATATTTTCCTTCCTTACTTCGAGAACTAAAAGTCACAGCGACTTTGACCATCATGACCATGGCCTACCCATATCTACATCATCAGAACATGACCAGTTACAATTGCAATTGACCGATTTTTCCAAAACGAATGATATTTGGGAAAAACAAGGACAGCTCACCATTTCTTTGGTTGCGTCAGCGGTTTGTACTTCTTGTACTTAATTTTCCATTCAATCTGCTCTCGGCAGCGAGAACACACGCCGCTTACGACCATTTGATTCAACGCTTTCATTTTTCGACTTGTATCATGCAAGTCGTTTTTAAACGCTTTTGTATTCTGATACTTTTGAGACTTCTTCTTCATGTTCCCTTTCTGCGAACTCATTTTCTTGGTAACTCACTAAAACAGTATTTCTAACGTGAGAATCCAAACTAGATCCTCAGAAAATCGTAGTTTAATCATATACGTGCCTGAAATGACCTGAAGTGAGCGATGACAAGACCGTCCACGTTGAATAGCGCCCCCATTTGTCGAATGATATCTGGTCCATTTGAAAAAACATCAAAAATCGTAATGATTTTTCGCAAATTGTTCACACTTCAATGAAAAAAAAAGAAACCTCGTGACGAAATGAGCAAATGTAAAGTAGCCCTTAACGGTTATGTTTAATATTTTCACAATTTCTGTAAAATGCATACGGGCAGAATTTATCTTTAAAGCAAAAATAAGTTGCATTTTCATTACTTCAAGCAATATTGGAGTTTCATAATTGCAACACAAACAGGGTTCTCTGTAAATAATTTGAATATTTGTCGGCTCTTGCTTGGGGGAAAAATCAAAGGAATAAAATAGTTTTGCTATGATGCAAGGTCAACCTATCTGTCTTTTTTCAATGAGTCTATAGCAATACATGGATCTACAAATTGCAAACAAAGGAAAGCATACATTGTAGAAAAAAAAATGTCTTTGCAGGAGTTCATTGCAAAAAAGTCCATCTACTTCAGCTTCACTTTCTTCACAGGAGAGTCAGTGTTCACATTATCTTCACAACATTCAACAACTTTGACCAAGGCACTGAGAGATGGTGATAAATGTTTCACTGGTCCCCTGCCGTCAGCTCTTTGCAAGCCTTGTACCGGTATTGAATACCCCGATTTTGAAATTGCGACCAACTTTAGACAATCACCATTAGCCAGTTCTCCGGAGTCCATCAAATGTCTCCCATTCTCCAGAAGCTGTGTCTCTGCAGTTCTGCTTCTAAACAGTTCCGCTTCTGCAGCACTGTCGCCGTCACTTTCCAAAAGTTTATTACAAATTTCCCGATCATTTCCCCGTTGTAGATTACCACTAACGTTTGAGAGATTTTGATGGGCATTCCCCAGATTCAGTTCTCTTTCTTCCTTCACTGAAATTTGTTCCGAATAGGCTGAATTTTCCTCCTTTACGTGAACACTCTGGTGAGTCCTTTCCACGTTCTCCTCTGGTTCTCCAGTCACCTTTACTGCACCACCACCTTCTGCTGAACAAGTGCGTGACGATGTCTGGACGATGCAAGGTCCCCTGTACTCTGGGATGGTCAGTCCGAGGTGGGCCATGACCTTTGACATGACCTTGTCGACATATCCATGTATCCTCAGATATGCATGTTTGTCCTGCATGGATAAAAAGATAAACATAGCAGTTGGCAGATGCATACAAAAGTCCCAGACTGAATTCCAGCCAGAAATCACTCGGGGGAAAATTGTAGCCATCAGACACTCTTGCTAGCTGAAATAAATTACAATGAACCTCAATCATTCCGACGTTTTTCCTGCTTCTTTCCAGAAACTACGCAGATATTTGACAAGTGATGCAGGCAGACTTGGGTACAATTGTGCACTGAAAACTACGGTTACATGGAACAACACAGACGCCTGGTACCATGGGTTGTTAGTAAAGCAGTTTTCCTTGAATGCAATGAAGGCTCAAACACAAAGCACATGACTATTACAATCAGATGCTCCCAGTGACGTCTGATTCAAGGGTTCAGTTACAAGAACAATAAAATATGTATGTTGGTTATGCACCTCTGTGTAATTTGAGCATTAAAATGATTTCCTTACATGTTTGGTGGGTTGGAGATTGACAATGACGATCTTTCCTCCGGCTTTCTTGGTGAGCAGCGGGAGGTTGCCGCTGGGTACAATCTGAAGGCTTGTCCCCAGGCAAAGTGCAAGGTCAGCTTGCCTGGAAATCACAGAACCGAATCAAATGGATGGTGAAAAGGCATTCACATTAACCTTGGAGAGAAATGAAAATTGTCAGGGCCCAGTAAGGATGACAAGGAGATACCCATAAAGCATCAAGCAACAACGACAGCAGTAAAATACTGTGACTTTCTGGACATTTTTTTTTTCAAATGCCAATGATAGTGAGAATTTTGCAATTTGTTGTTTTTCTACAAACTACAAAATGGCAACTAAACCCCCTAAATTCAGACAAAAATCTGAGACATCACACTCCAGAATTTCATCTTTGTTCACCATTATGGCCAGATCAAATACAGTGAGGGTATTTTTCAGAAGCATACTTTTTTCCATTTTTAAGCAATTACACAAAAATCCACTTCCGTTTGTTACTTATTCACACATTTGCTTCTCCCCGTTTTGTAACTGTATCACATGTTTCTAAATCCTATCAAATAACAATTATGTGAAGCTATAAACTTAAATCCCTTTGACTATTGACTTTCCTTAGTTCTAATTTTTCTGATATGTAAAATAAAAAATCATGAGTAATTTTGGAGGTTACAATCTGTCAATGGAATCAATTGAAGTTCTCAAGAAAAACTAAACTCTCTGATAAAAACTATGATTAATTATTTTTGGACAAACCTGGATTGTTTTTCTGCACGATCCAAGTCATCTTCTGGCAATGCATCCTCCCAGTCTAAAATTGTGTCTCGTAACTTGCCTCTTTGGTGAACAGGTAAAATAGACAAGAACTGAAGGGTTACTATGATTTTTAGTGACAGTGAACTCAAGTGTTGGGGTCGGGGCACAAACATGTATTTGAGAAAAGCAGCAGAAATCACTGGACCACCAAATGGTGGAGTAGATGGGCTTTTTACCTGCATTTTCCCCGGGGCTTTGTCTGCGTACACTGCCCTCCAGTTGGCTTGAGGCCCAATGTGGGAACAGCTGTCTCTCGGACATACTGCCTGCATAAAACATCAACCCACATAATCAACATGCAAAGTGTGTTTCATTTTCCAAATTGCTCATGTTACAAAATCTTCAAAGACTAATTTACATCTCTGCTCACAGGGACATTATGCAAGACTGCATAAGGCTAAAAAGGCATACATGCTTAGTCAAGGCCTGTATGTTACGAGCATGCAAAGGAATGTTGCATGAAAGGCTTCTGGGCACAACAAAGGACCCTGCTCTCAACTGTGCCCCCACTGGTGACAAAGAGAGAGGTTGGACCAACACTTTGACCGCCCACACGAGAGTTCACCCATTTCTTCAGGAGACCCACGCATCATCATCATCACCATCATTTTCGGTCATTATTGGTCCCCTGCAAGGCCCAGACCTCCGTACGCTGGTGCCAACTGATCCAACGTACCACTCTCATCCTTGCAATGCCTGCTACCTTAACAATCTCATCCTTCCATCTTGTTTTCTGTTTTCCCCAGCAACGTGAACCTGTCTCCCTTGGTTGACATTCTGAGCTCTATTCTGACCCACGTGGACCCTGTTCTAAACCCACAGACTTGGTCTGTTGGTACCAGGAGATGGTATTGCCGGCCAACAAAGCCTCTCATCTCACACTATACAGGGTGACCCTTAAAGTAAGATAACAGGTCTTTGCATCTTACTTGCCACATTTATCGCACTGCTCCACAAACATGTTGCCATGAAGTTCTGACAGCCTGTCCCTGTAAAGGAAACATCAGTGGAACGTTAACAAAACAGACAGAACCACTGAAATCATGCATCAGTAAATGGATCTGCAGGGTGAATGCGTAGCCCATCATAGAATTGGGACTCCACACATTCTGTTTCAAAGAAGCACTTCATGTAAACAAGAAACGTACCTGGGGAATCCAGACCTGAGATGAAGCCCGTCCACGTTCTGACTGACGACATACTTAACAAAGCCTGCCCTCTCCAGTTCAATCAAGGCACGATGGGTGGGAGTGGGGACTGCGCCATCAAAGGTGACATTGACATCTGGTTTCCTACCTTCCTTCTCCAGGGTCCACACTCCCTTGGGACCCCTGACCAGAAATAAACAATTTCATGAACAGTATTTTCTCTGACATATTTTCCATGCAATCCTCTGACTTATAGTGTATAAATGGACTGGTAATGAAGTCGCTTGCCCTAACAGTCCTCAATCCACCAGTTTCAATATGATTTTACGTACACCCTAGGGAGTTAGGACTACTGCACGTCTACGCGTACTGGTGTATGGGTAATTCCAGAAATTAGGGGTCCATTTTTTTGTAAGTTCAGAACGGACATTTTAATTTGCAAGAGTGGTGAATAAATGCAAATTACCTGCCGAACAAATAGTGATAGTTTGAAATCAATTCAAACTATATGTCCATGTCTAATAACAAAGGTCAGATGTAACAGGGACAGATGTAACTTTTGGACCCCTAATTTCTGGAATTACCCATGTACAAAAAGGTAACAAAATGTATACATGTACATGTACAGCACCAGTATGTTATCTGGAATCGAAAAATACACAAACACGAAATGGGGTTTTTGAAGAAGGACCCCCGTTCCTGATTTTACCAAATTGACAAGTAACTTTAAATCAGCTCTGTACCTGAAATCTGGTATTCCAGCAGATGTGCTGATGCCAGCCCCTGTATGCACAACAGTATATTTGCTGTTAAGGAGCAGGCTTGCCAATTGATGAGATTTCTCTTCGATCACATCTGGATCATCAAATTTCTAACAATGAGTGGTCCAAAAGAACAAAAATCCACAGGTTAAAAACTGGACACTTGGATGTCATGGACAAGGTCGTGCAATGTTAGGTCCAAATGTTTAAAGAAGCAGTCTGTGGGGTCCTAGTTAAATAGTTATCTCAAACTAGGGTTTGCGCACAGGCTGTCAAGGCTCGACCAGCATCTGTCCACAACAGTACAGTTGTCAGGTCTCTCTTAGTTCACCGTTTACTGTAAAGACCAATCTAACATGTCAGGAATTCTTCTTGCTGATACAAGTGAAATCAGAATGTTGCATTCTTATGGTCCTACTACTATTTACTACTGCACCGAGTTAGTACACTAGATTGGATTAACTTCTCACAATACTTGCAAATACAGCAAATGGGATACTGGGTGAACATTAATTTGATTGTATAATGTAATTAATCAACTAAAATTTATTAAAAAGTTGATTCTTTGCAAGCAAAGCAGCAATTGGTAGGATTATCCACTGATGACAGGAATACATGCAAGGGTACGAAATGACTTGGGTACAAATTGACTCGGGTACGAGATGACCCAGACTCAGGCAGAGGGCCTAAACCAGTCAGCTGATCCGAATATGACACACATGGTATCCAGACATCATTTTTTTCTGTGATTGATTGGCAAAGAGCTACATGTATCCTTATGAATATTTAGGACTTTGTATAGACAAATCCTATTCGATGCCATAACTGCTGTGGTGCTGCACTCACATGTGCACATTTTTCAGCTTGACGCGAGCGTGCATTTGGCAAATCACAACACCCTATTGGTCAAAGAGGCATGGAACGCACACGTACCACCTGTCCATGAGTGTTGCACCACCGCAGTAATGCCATGGCTTCCAATTCTGGTTGTCGAATTGCAGTATACATTTGCTATGGGCCCAGCCGGGCATTCTCAGATTTGGACTTAGAGCCTAGACATAAATGGTGGGCCAAGTCTACATCATAAGCATTGTATTTGTAAGGCTATGAGCATGAAAGTTTAAGATTTACCTCGCACTGCTCTGGATATGCACCGTGCACGGACACTAAGGAAACCATCTTGCTAAAAATAAATAATAAATAACGAAAAAAGCCTCATGCTTTTCCGAAATGTTCTGGACGCATACGCTCACAGGCCCTATCTAAAACATGAAAAACCATGAAAACTTTCATTCTATGTCTGTAAATTTTCCTGAAACTTAGGCCTATCTCACCTCTGGCATTCCACATTTCCCTTTATGTTCATATGGCGACAACCCTTCTGAATAATTCACGGACATATTCAAAGATCTGCAGAGTTCCGCTCAGACACAAACTACAGACTAAATGTCCAAAAGCGTATTTACGTAAACGTGCCTCTGGAGGGCGCTTTTTTGTACACCATCCCGGCACAGTCCGAGGGCAAGTGATTACGTAAGCGCGGCACGGCCTTATGAGCCACATGCATGCCTGAAAATTGAAATTAAAACGCCGTTTGTTCGATGCAAGCTTTTGAAAAATGTGGAAATTTCTTAAGTTAGAAGGGGTGACGTTTAGATCGAACCAGATTGTTCATTAACGGCAAACTGCCAAGTCGAAACTGCTGTCATCGCAGGGATGTGACTAGTTGAACAGGCCTGCTCGCGCAGCCGTAAATATTTTGTTTTCTCAGTTCTATAATTTACGGGAGTCGGGAGAAACATTAAGTATTTGACAAAACCATTTTTGTTTATATATAAAGCCTATCAGTATTTACTTGATATTCGGTAAACCGGAGCACGAAACATTGATACTGTACGTTCAGGAATACAACTGAAATTGGGGACGCCTCGAATCCATATGATGCAAGATGTGGGGACGGAGAGAACCGCGGGGTTCCGCGTACGGTCCGTGGCGGCCCGGGAGCGCGTGGACGATCCTCAGTTCGTATATGTACGACACCTAGACCTATATACGATTTAACCATAGACCTGAAGGGTTTCTATGATTTAACCAATACGTATGAGAAACATTTAAATTTTTAGCTTCTTTTGCCAGACCAAGTTCTACAAATAATAAGTGCCAAGTTTTAAATAATAATGTTACAAGAATGCCAGTAAGCCTCGGGAAATATAGACCCCTTCTGGTCATTCTCAGTCCCTCGGGGACCTCGCGAGCGGGGACATAGGCGTGCACCATTGCCAGTCCACGTATTCATAGAGCTAGCCCCCAATGTAAACTTCCCCAAAATCAAACCTACGAGGGGGCAAACAAATTTGGATTGTATAAACTTCTATTGCCTTTCTGGGGTTCACGTTTACATTTCGATGCTTTTTTCTCGATTTTGGAAGGAAAGGAAATGAAACAGACCTCCAAAATCGCCTGCCTCTCATTATTCCCCCATAACCCTTTCTTGATTTTATGGGGCACGATTCCCTTTATTCCCGAGATACGGCCTTGCTTTCCATCACTGTGGATAGGCAATAATCTTTCCAAAGCCGAACACTTTTGAAAATTGTTAATCGAGAGGAGCTTATAGTTCCCCTGCGGTCCTGTTAAAGTGTTGTCAACAATTTTGTTTGTCCTCCTCCCGCTTAAACTAAGTTGTTTCTTCACCACTGCTTTCAGTCAGGTTTTCACCGTTTCGATGAGCATAATGCATGTTTCCCGAAAGTGCGGTGCCCCTCAGTCTGAGGGCATTCAGTGAAGCAGTGGTGATAAGTACGCTATTTCCCGGTAAAGTGTGTGGATGATAGGTGTACCGTATGGTGTTCCATATGTGCCATCCGGCGTCACATTTTTCGACGGGCGTCGCATTTTTCGACGGGCGTTGCATTTTTCGACTGGCGTCGCATTTTTTAACTGGCGTCGCATTTTTCGACGGGCGTCGCATTTTTCATTACTTCATCGGAACGACCTATGGAGGCCAGTCATCGGTACCGCCAGCTTATTATAAAACACTCGAAAACTAGTCTAATAAAGAATGAAGTTATCTGTTGTGGAGATTCTCACACGTACGGCAACATTTGTCACAGAAAAAAAGAAAATTAGACAGAAAGGTATGTACATGTACGTGCAACCCCAGGGTCAATCAAGAAGAAGCAGCTACGACGAAACAGCCTTTTCAAACAGTGACACTTTTCAAACCCAAATCCACATGCAGTCCTCAAGACCTTGGGAAGTCATTTCGTTGAGTAATAAACACAAGCCCCCCCCAAAAAAAACAAAGAAAAATAAATGATCTCAAGCCCATGACCAGACGGCCTCCACCGGGGGAATGCCTGAACCACGGACCATTGCCTGAACAACTTCAAATGTGTGAAATACCTTTCTACCACTGTAATGAAAAAATAAGATCAGTTTGGCTTCCTCTGGACAGATTTTCATGGTTCAAAAAGTATTTTCGGAAAACTGTGCGTGATTTTGTATTGCTGACAACTTCTTTCAACCAAGAAAACGTAAAATATCTCAAAGTTATGGTGCGTGACATTTCTTCGCCAAGAGTAGTTACATTTTAAATTA